CTAGCCTGGGCCAGGGAGGTGGCAGGAGAGGTGATACCAAGTGGTTGGATCTGGATCTATATTGAAGGGTGGGCTGACGGGGACTGTGGAGGGGTTGGATACAGGCTGAGAGGAAGAGAGGACCCACGGATGCCTGCTGGGTCTTTAGCTTGAGCAATGGAAGGGTAGAGGTGGCAAAGACTGGGCAAAGTTAGGGCAGGTGATGAGAGAAAATCAGGAGTGTGGATTGGGATACACTCCTCAATTTTTTTTTTTTTTTTTTTTTTTTTTTTTTTTTAGATGCAGTTTTGCTCTTGTTGCCCAGGCTGGAGTGTAGTGGTGCTATCTTGGCTCACTGTAACCCTCACCTCCCAGGTTCAAGTGATTCCCCTGCCTCAGCCTCCTGAGTAACTGGGATTACAGGCACCCACTACCATGCCCAGCTAATTTTTGTATTTTTAGTAGAGATGGGGTTTCATCGTGTTGGCCAGTCTGGTCTCGAACTCCTGACCTCAGATGATCTGTCTGCCTCAGCCTCAAAAAGTGCTGGAATTACAGGCGAGAGCCACCACGCCTGGCTACACTCCCAAATTTTAAGAAATTTTTTTTTAAAAAGTTTATATTAGTTGGATGTGGTGGCACGCCTGCATTCCCAGCGACTCAGGAGGCTGAGGTGAGAGGTCAGCTTGAGCATAGAAGTTCAAGGCTGCAGTGAGCTAGGATTGCATCACTGCATTCCAGCCTGGGTGACACGGTGCAACCCTGTCTCTAAAAAGCAAATAAAAGCTACCGGGTGTGGTGGCTCACACCTGTAATCCAAGCACTTTGGAGGCCAAGGTGGGCGGATCACCTGAGGTCGGGAGTTCAGGACCAGCCTGACCAACATGGTGAAACCCCGCCTTCAAAATAAAATAAAATAAAATAAAAGCAATAAACATCCTGAATGAGACCCTGAGAAAATCTCAGTCAGAGAACGAGGTAAGTTGTGTTTGGACTCCTTACTACAAAAACTAAGACAGAATAAATGTGCTGTCTTAAGCTGCTAATTTTGGGGTAATTTGTTATATAATAATAAATAACTAGTACATGTCACATTTCTACAAACATGTCTCTACAACAGTGGCTGCCACAAAACGTATCCTGGCTGGGTATGGTGGCTTATGCCTATCATCTCAGCACTCTGGGAAGCCAAGATGGGAGGATTGCCTGAAGCCGGGAGTTCAGGACCAGCCTCAGCAGCATAGGGAGACCTTGTGTTGCATTTAAAAAACAACAACCAAAAGGGTTGTGTAGGGGAGGATCTGTTTCCAAGCTCCCTCATGGACTGTTGGTAGGATTCCGTTCCTCACAGGCTCTTGGCTGGCAACCTCTGATCCTGGCGGTATGAGCCTTTCCATAAGGATACTCTCAACAGGGCAGCCAGCTTCCCTCAGAGGGCGCACAGCACTGATGTCCATCGTCTTTCTGTAACCTAACCTTGGAAAGGACACCCCATTGCTTTTGCTATATTCTCTGTGCTAGGAGAGGCTCACTGGGTCCTGCCCACATCTCAGAAGAGGCAATGAATGTGAGCATCAGTTGGCAGGGATCTTCGGGAACCATGTTAGAGCTGTCTACCACATCCAGGCAGCGACTGCATAAGCAAAGCCAGGGTTAGGGGGAGGGGTCCAGGCTGAAGATACCTATGGGGCTTAGTGGTGGGTCTGGACCAGGTGAGCTGGGAGCCAGTGAGACAGAGAAGGACTGAGCCGGGGGCACTCCAATGTTTGGAGGTCAGGAAGATGAGGAGAGGTCAGCAAAGGAGACGGAGCAGAAGGGGCCAGTGCAGCAGGGAAGGGATGGAGACAGAGGCACAGGGGCCGCCAGAGAAACCTGTTGGCAGGAGAGAGGGATCAGCAGTCGAAGGCCACTGCAGGACAGGTGAGCAAAGGCGGAGAACTGACCACTGGCTTGAGCAGCGTGGAGATGGCCTTGACAAGAGCAGTCCCAGTGGGGTGGAGGAAGTGAAACCCAACTGGATGGGTTCTAGAGAGAACAGGAGACCAGGAAGTGAAGGCAGAGGCAACCATGCTTCGGAAGAGTCTTGGTAGAGAGGATAGCACAACCTTGCATTTGAGCGTCTTCAGCTTTCTCAACTCAAGTAACTCTCGGTTGAGCTGATTCTTGGAACTCTGCTTCTCCCTACACTTCTTCAACACGCAAGTTTCCTCGGTGTTGCGCAGTCCACCTCCCACCCCAGCGACCTCAACCGGGATGGTTCAGAACCCCGAAGTCGGCCCATGTTTTATATTTGGTGTTTCTGGTACTAGCAAGTCACAGTTAGACTAGACATGCCTTGGGAGACTGGGGCAGAGACACACATTAGCTCCCAGTCATTAGCTGGAAGCTCCGTAAATCCAAATCAGCTACCCTTGGGATCTGGCTTAGCAAAAGCTTATTACTGACTGCCATCTTGTGGTCATTTAGGGAACTGGCCTAGGTTCAAATCAGGGTGGTGGAAAGAGTTGAGTGGATTGTAGGATAGTACCCGGCACTGAGGGTTCAGGAAAAGCGAACTACTCTCATGCTCAATAGTTTGGAGGAGTATGGCCAAAACAAACAAACATGTCTCTTGACTTCACTCCCAACATTTTTCAAAGGAAAAGGAACTACCCTAAAAGGAGGTGCCTCCTTATCTTGGTAAAAGTAAAACCGAATCAGGGAGCCAAGTAAGACTTTCATGCATGAAGTCAGATGATGAGATGCAAGTCCTGCTTTTGCTACTATGTGACCTTGATCTTACCACTGAAGCCCAAATGAGCCTTAGTTTCATCAAGCAATAAAATGAGAGCATTAGGATGAAGACTGCACAGGTGGTGAATGTGAACAGCTCTCAGGAAAAGTGGCATTCCTAGTTCAAGGTAGTGGCCTGCCAGCTCTCAACACTGGGCTGTGTTGCTTTTCAATAGTGTCTCTCAACTAGGGGCAATTTTGCCCCACCCCCACCCCACCCCAGGGGATATTTGACAATGCCTGAAGATAACTTTTGGGGTTCTTTTTGGTTTTCAAAGTGTTGAGCCTGTGTTTTTGTTTTTGTTTTGAGATGGAATCTCGATCTGTCGCCCAAGCTGGAATGTAGTGGCGCAATCTTGGTTCGCCGCAACCTCCGCCTCCTGGATTCAAGCGATTCTCCTGTTGCAGCCTCCCGAGTAGCTGGGACTACAGGCACCTGCCACTACAGCCAGCTAATTTTGGTATTTTTAGTAAAGGCGGGGTTTCGCTATGTTGGCCAGGCTGGTCTCAAACTCCTGACCTCAAGTGATCCATCCACCTTGGCCTCCCAAAGTGCTGGGATTCCAGGTGTGAGCCACCTCACCCAGCCAATCCTGTTTTACTATCTGACTTGAAAACTAGATAATCCACCAGCCCAGGAGGGAATGGGTGGGCTTAATCCCCTGGAGATATTTTTGGTTGCGATAGCGTGGGGGACAGGCAGATGCTCCCAGTGAAGAGTGGGTAGAGATCAGAGATGTTGCTAAACATTCTGCAGTGCAAAGGACAGCGCCCCCCACAGACAGAATTATCCGGTCCAGAATGTCAATGGTGCTTCAGCTGAGAAATCCCGGCACTTTTTTTTTTTTTTTTTTTTTTGAGATGGAGTTTCGCTCTTGTTACCGAGGCTGGAGTGCAATGGCACGATCTCGGCTCACCGCAACCTCCGCCTCCTGGGTTCAAGCAATTCTCCTGCCTCAGCCTCCTGAGTTTTTTTTTTTTTTTTTTTTTTTTTTTTTTTTTTAATTAAATAAAGACAAGGTTTCACCATGTTGGCCAGGCTGGTCTCAAACTCCCGACCTTAGGTAATATGCCCACCTTGGCCTCCAAAATGCTTGGATTACAGGTGTGAGCCACCACGCCCAGCCTCTGGCACTTTCTTAAATGGGGATTCTTCTTGCTATGTTATTGTGAACCAACATGAGGAATTGCTTTCTGAAAAGTATGAGGGAAGCAGGGTGAGGCATGACTCTGGAAAGGGGTCTTTTCAATGGGGTATTTTCTTTTTCTTTTTTTTTTTTTTTCTTGAGACGGAGTTTCGCTCTTGTTACCCAGACTAGAGTGCAATGGCGCGACCTTGGCTCACCGCAACCTCTGGCTCCTGGGTTCAAGCAATTCTGCCTCAGCCTCCCGAGTGGCTGGAACTACAGGCACTCGCCACCATGCCCAGCTAATTTTTGTATTTTTAGTAGAGACGGGGTTTCACCATGTTGGCCAGGATGATCTCGATCTCTTGACCTCATGATCCACCCGCCTCAGCCTCCCAAAGTGCTAGGATTATAGGCATGAGCCACCGCGCCCGGCCCAATGGGGTCTTTTCTAAAGTGAATGTTCAGAAGCCTGTGCTCTCCAATAGGGTAGTTTTTTTTGTTTTGTTTTGTTTTTTTCTTTTTTGAAACGAAGTTTCACTCTTGTTAGCCAGGCTGGAGTGCAATGGTGTGATCTCAGCACACTGCAACCTCTGCCTCCTGGGTTCAAGTGATTCTCCTGCTTCAGCGTCTCGAGTAACTGGGATTACAGGCACCGCTGCCGTGCGCAGCTAATTTTTGTATTTTTAGTAGAGGCAGGGTTTCACCCTGCTGGCCAGGCTGGTCTCGAACTCCTGTCCTCCAGTGATCCACCCACCTCAGCCTCCCAAAGTGCTGGGATTATAGGCATGAGCCACTGTGCTAGGCTGATAGGCTAGTCTTGAGCCAACCATACATAGTTATTGAAACGGAAATTGGCCAAAATGGAATAAAATTTAAAATTTGGTTAAGTTATTGGGTTGTAATAGTCACATTCTAAGTGCTCAGTTACCACATATGGCTAGTGGCCAGCACAGATAGAGAACATTTCCATCAGCACAGGAAGTTCTGTTGGGCAATACTGCTCCAAAGGACTCAGCAGAACGGGCATCTGTGGGCCAACCCATAAAGGAAAAACTAGAAACTAAGGAAGTGCAAAGGAGAGGGGACTGTGAGAGGCAAAAACAGACACCAGTGAGACAATTAAATAAGCACAAGGCCACATATATTATTAACTGCTAAAACAAGTCACACCACACATCTGTACAATAATTGATCCACACAACCCGCCGTCTCCCAAGGATCATTCCACAGTGCATAAACCTCAAAAGCCCTGACAAACCAAGCAGCATCAACAGAAGACAGGCGGGGCAGGGAGAGTTCCATTGCTGAGGAGCACCGTTCCCTCCCACCTTTCCCCGCAGGGGACGGTTTCACTTCCGGTACAACATTCTCCGAGGGACCGATAGTCTTGAGTTCACTACAATGGTGGAGGAGGACTTGTGGCGGGCTATCTTGTTCGCAGCTGGGGGCTCCTTGTAAAGGCTGTACGCATGCTTGAAGATGAAGGGCAGACAGAAAAAGTGCAGGAGCATGTGTGAGATTTGGAAGATGAGGTACAAGTGACTCAGCTGCTTGAACTCATCTCTGATGATACTGTTGAGGAGCAGGACTATGGAGAAGTTGATGAGCTCATAAGTGATGATCCACACGGCATAGATCAGCAGCCCGGGGAGGAAATTATTATAGATACAATAAAGGAGGAAGCAGCTGACAACGATGGTGGTGAGGGAGAGGGCAGTGCTGATCTTAGCCCTGTGGAACAGGATCCAAGTGACTAGCTTCGACTTTGAGTCCATGTAGATGCTGAACTTGTGCTCAGAGCCAATGTGTGTAGTCTGATTCAGGTCAAAGATGAAGAACTGGATGGTGTTGAGGACGGAGAAGATGCCCACCAAGAGGGAGACCATCCTGGCATTCATTTTACACTTGTTTTACCAGAGCACCTCCTGCAGGAAGAAAATCATGCAGACACGTGACAAGACGGCAGAGCTAGCCTTAGATATAAATAGAATCGTGAACAGCAATGATGGTATGTAGACAGGCAATGGGCTGGAAGTTAAGGGACATGGGGGCTGGCCCCTGCTCTGACCTAACTAGCTAGATGTGACCACATCATCGGGAAATGGATGTATCACTGGCCTGGGACTCTCCTAAGTACCTTCCAGTTCTGCTGTTCTAGCTCCAGCTTTGCTTTAAAGCGGCAGAGAGTGTTCCTGTTGATGATGCAGGTTTGTGGAACTGAGAGGCTCCTGTGTTGGGAATAAGGATGGTACAAACTCCATCTGGTGAGTTTGCTTCTCTGAAGTCAGAAAACTCATGGCTCCTCAAAGGCTTGGAATCGTCCCTGACATCCCCTGGCCCCGCTACTCTTTCCTTCCAAGCCCTTAGAAATTTCCCTGCTTCGCTCCCTGGGCATGGCCCAGCCTTGTCCCAAGTCACAGGGTTTGGCCAGCAGGAGTGGGTGGAGGTTTATGGATCCATGCAAGACTTACTGTCTTCTATGCCCGGGGGCCAAGATGCCTTAATGATAAGCCACAGTTGTGCTGGCGAAGGCTCCGCAGGCAGACCTCCAGCTGCAACCTAGGTTAGACCTGAACTCTAGAGGTCAGCTCAAGGTAAGAGGCAGGAACCTGGTGCCCAGGCAGACCCTGCTGAGGGCATGTTGATAACAGAGGGCCCAAGGCTGGGATAGGCTAGGCCCAGCACACACCTTCCTCCACAACCTGAATCTCCTTCTTACTGGCTCCCAATTCAGAGAACTCCCGAGCAAACTTCTTTCCTCTTCATTCACCACGCTGGCAAGCTACCTCTTTTGTGGGGCAAAGGAAGGACACAGTCACACATGAGGAGAACACAGGGCTGTCCTCTGGCTGACCAATTTCCAATGGGGGACAGCTTGTTTGAAGCTTCCTTCCGTCCTTTTCCCCTTCCCTCCCTCCCTTCTCTTTCCTTCTTTCTTTCTTTCTCTTTCTTTCTTTCTTTTTTTTTTTTACCCAGGCTGGAGTGCAATGGTGCGATCTCGGCTCACCGCAACCTCCGCCTCCTGGGTTCAGGCAATTCTCCTGCCTCAGCCTCCTGAGTAGCTGGGATTACAGGCACGCGCCACCATGCCCAGCTAATTTTTTGTATTTTTAGTAGAGACGGGGTTTCATCATGTTGACCAGGATGGTCTCGATCTCTTGACCTCGTGATCCACCCGCCTCGGCCTCCCAAAGTGCTGGAATTACAGGCTTGAGCCACCGCGCCCGGCCTTCTTTCTCTTTCTTTCTTTCTCTCTCTCTGTCTCTCTGTCTGTCTGTCTCTCAATCTCTCTCTCTCTCTCTTCAGAGTCTTGCTCTGTCACTCAGGCTGGAGTGCAGTGGTGTGATCTTGGCTCACTGCAACCTCCGCCTGCCAGGTTCAAGCAGTTCTCCTGCCTTGGCCTCCCAAGGAGCTGCAATAACAGGCATGCACCATCATGCCCAGCTAATTTTTTTTTTAATTTTAGAAGAGACAGGGTTATACTGTGTTGGCCAGGCTGGTCTTGAATTCCTAACCTCAAGTGATCTGCCCACCTCAGCCTCCCAAAATGCTGGGATTACAGTCATGAGCCACCATGGCCAGCCATCTCCAGAACTTTTTCATCATTCCCATCAAAGGTTCTATATCCATTAAACATCAACTCCCTATTCTCCTCTTCCCCTGTTCCCTGCTAACCATTTTTCTTGCGACCTCTATGAATTTGACTGCTCTAGGTCCCTCATATAAGTGGAATCATAAAACATTTGTCCTTTGGTATCTGGCTTACTTCACCTAGCATAATGTTTTCCAGATTCATCTCAAATTTCTTATACTTTATTCCCCACCATCCTCCCAACCCTGTGTGACTCAGATCTCCAGATACACAAACCTCTCAGTGCTCCCTAGAACCTGGAGGGGCCCAGGAGGGAGACAGTGTGTTGTCTGGTGGATAGCTGCACTGTTACTTGCCTGTCTGCACAACAAAACCTCACCTCTGCCCTGTTCACAGGGCAGCTTCCAGAGCAGCCACTATCCATGGGGTATTTGCCTGGATTATCCAAAAATAGGGCCCCGAACCACACAGTTTTATTCCTTTGCTCTACGTGCATGCTGCAAGTCTCAAGGAAATGTCTATATAAACTCCACTGGTTCCACAGGTCTGCTGCCCCAGCCTTGGTCCCCACCCTTGGCACCTCTTTCCTGGTTCACTATAATAACGACCTGACTTCTCTTTCTGTCGCTGCCTGTGGTACATTCTGTTCATTCAACACTCACACAGCAAACATCTATTGAGTATCTACGGTGCTGGGGGCTGAGCTTGGTACTGGAGATAGACAGGTAAATATGCTAGTGTGGAAGCTGGACAAATTAAAAAACAAATAGAATTTTTTTTTTTTTTTTTTTTTTTTTTGAGACGGAGTTTCGCTCTTGTTACCCAGGCTGGAGTGCAATGGCGCGATCTCTGCTCACCGCAACCTCCGCCTCCTGGGCTCAGGCAATTCTCCTGCCTCAGCCTCCTGAGTCGCTGGGATTATAGGCACGCACCACCATGCCCAGCTAATTTTTTGTATTTTTAGTAGATACGGGGTTTCACCATGTTGACTGGGATGGTCTCGATCTCTTGACCTCGTGTTCCACCCGCCTCGGCCTCCCAAAGTGCTGGGATTACAGGCTTGAGCCACTGCGCCCAGCTCATAGAATTTTTTTTAATTAAGAAAAAAGATTAGCTGGGCATGGTGGTATGTGCCTGTAATCCCAGCTACTCGGGAGGCTGAGGCAGGAGAATTGCCTGAACCCAGGAGGCGGAGGTTGTGGTGAGCCGAGATCGCGCCATTGCACTCCAGCCTGGGTAACAAAGAGCGAAACGCCGTCTCAAAAAAAAAAAAAAGAAAAAAGAAAACTCATGATGGGCAGATCACAAGGTCAGGAGTTCAAGACCAGCCTGGCCAATATGGCGAAACCCCATCTCTACTAAAAATACAAAAATTAGCTGGGCATGCTGGCATGCGTCTGTAATCTCAGCTACTCAGGAGGCTGAGGCAGGAGAACTGCTTGAACCTGGGAGGCGGAGGTTGCAGTGAACCGAGATCGCGCCACTGTACTCCAGCCTGGGCTACAGAGCAAGACTCCATCTCAAAAAAAAAAAAAAAAAAAAAGGAAAAGGAAAACAGGAAACTTGCAAAGCAGTGTGATAAACGTGGTAAAGAAAGAGATGGCTCAGTGTTGTCAAGATGTAACAATGAGAGAGATGAAAATCATCGTGAGAAGCAGGGAAGGCTTTCTGGAAAAGGCAATAGCTGAGCTTGGTTCTTTTTTGTTTTGTTTTTTGTTGTTGTTCTTGTTTATTTTTTAGCCTTTTTCTTAGCTGAGCTTGGGTCTTAAAGGACAAGGACATTAACTAAGCAGAAAAAGGGGACAGCATCCAGGTAGGCACAGGGACAGGCAGCAGCCATTTTGGAAACAGCAAGTTTGGCGTGCCTTGAGCAGAGGGGAAGGCTGTATAGGTTGGCAGGGGCCAGATCAGGAAGGATCCTTACCCACTACCGGCCATGTGGATGTTTCTCTGAAAGGTAAAGGAGAGGGTCTTCAGGGTGTGTGTGTGTGTGTGTGTGTGAGAGAGAGAGAGAGAGAGAGAGAGAGAGAGAGAGAGAGAGACAGACAGACAGACAGACAGGCAGGCAGGCAGACATAACCAGATTTGCAATTTATTTATTTATTTTTGAGACAAGGTCTCACTCTGTTGCCCAGGCTGGAGTGCAGTGGCACAATTAGAACTCGCTGCAACCTCCACACCCAAGTTCAAGCGATTCTCCTGCTTCAACCTCCCAAGTAGCTGGAATTACAGGCACCCGCCACCACGCCCACCTAATTTTTGTAGTTTTAGTAGAGAAGGGGTCTCCCCATGTTGGCCAGGCTGGTCTTGAACTCCTGACCTTCACTGGTCTGCCTGCTTTGGCCTCCAAAAGCGTTAGGATTACAGGCGTGAGCCACTGCGCCTGGCCATATTTGCATTTTAGAAAAATTTTTCTTGCTGCTTTGAGGGCCATGGGTCAGAAAGGGAGCAAAGGTGGAGGTAGGCAGAGCAGTTGAGAGGCTACGGAAGGAAATGAGGTGAAGCGAGGCAGCAGGGGGATGTCGGGGGACAGATTTGGGGTCCGGGGCTGTGGGAGAAGGAGTCTGGATGAGCACCTGGGTGGAAGACAGCCCGTCCATCGAGGTGAGGAGCACGGGGGCAGACGCACACTTAGGATGGGAGTGGGAAAGACGGTGATGAGGGCGGCTTGGCAAACGGTGACTGCTACGGTTTGACTGTTTGTCAGTTCAAAATGCATGTTACAACTTAATCCCTAATGCAACAGCATTCAACTATGGCGCCTTGAGGAGGCGATTAAATCATAAGAGCAGAGCCCTCATGAATGGATAAGTGACCTTTAAGGGGACAGGAGGGAACTAGCTAGTTTCTTTTGCTTCTCCGTCCCTTCTGCCATATCAGGACAGCGTTTCTGCCTTCTGGAGGTCACAGAAACAAGGCACCGCCTTGGAAGCAGAGTGAGCAGGCACTTATCGAACCGTACGGTCGCCTCAGAGAAAGGCCAAGTCAGGCTTCCAACAAGCTGTCCCCCACTGGAAATTGGTCGGCCAGAGGACAGTCCTGTGTTCTCCTCATGTGTGATTGTGCCCCTTCCTTTGCCCCATAACAGAAGTAGCTCGCCAGTGTGGTGAAGGAAGAGAAGAGAGGTTTGCTCGGGAGTCCTCCGAACTGGGAGCCAGTAAGAAGGAGATTCGGGTTGTGGAAGAAGGTATGTGCTGGGGTCCGGGCCCTCTGTTATCACATGCCCTCAGCAGGGTCTGCCTGGGCACCAGGTTCCTGCCCCCTGCCTTGAGCTGAGGTCTAGAGTTCACGTTGACTCTCACTTTTTTTTTTTTTTTTTTTTTTGAGACGGAG